GTTTGTTTGCTTGGATTTCAGCCACCGAGATTCTAGTCTTGTTATTAAAGGACATTCTAATTAAGCTCGTCTCGGCTTTCGTTACTGGACGGAAGAGGGGGTCAGAACAGCCACCCATCTCAGAAAATGACTCTGGATGGCTCACAGTTCAAATTGGATCAGAAGATTCTTCTGATATGTTTACTTTTTTCTTTTGGTTTTTGTATTGTATGAATCATCTTGTAACCTACCCAAAGTCCATTAAATTAATTATGGTGTCCTTTGCAATCTTATTCTATTATGAGCACTACTTAGATTTGTGCCCAAATATCACTATTTAGTAACAGTTATAGGAGCTGGTAGTATATTATGCTTTGCTGCAGAAAAAATAATATACACTTCATTTTAAAAAAATCATTCAGTTTAAAGAAAAAAAAATTGCCATATTTATTTTTAGGAAGCCATATGTTAAATAAATAAATATATTTAGGAAAATATGGAACGTAGATAAGCTTTCAGCAGATTTATTCCACTACTAAAGCTATGCATGCATGAGATTAAGGCTTATTTTAATAATTGAGATATATTTCCCAGTAAAATCTGAGTTAACTAAGTAAATACGGGTGTGACATTCTGGAGAAATAATTTAAGGTGTGGTCGGTAGGTGTTCTGTTTGTGCTCTGAAACCCCTTTTTAAGACTGAATCTGAAATGTTATACAGCCTCATTAGTTGCATTTTTTTTTCGCTGTACCTCACCTAATGACATATTTTTTTAAAAAAAAAACAGATTTTTTTTTTACAAATGTCCGATATAACTGGTCTTCCTATGTACATTCATTTGAGGATTTGAGATATAATAAACCTATTAATTTCAGTACTTGATAAAATCATTTAGTCATTTTGGATGTGCTATTAATTTATTCTAGAACAAATTATATGACTATGGCATGTGATATAAGTCAATTAACTTTAAAAACAATGAAGACCATTGTAAAGCATAGCATACATTCTACTCAATCGGTTTTTTAAATTGTACTTACAGACAACAAAACAGAAAGCAAATCTAATGCTAGTATGTAAAAATGTCTAAACAAAAATAATAGCAGGATTGATGACATTTTTATTAAATTTTAACATATAATAACCAAATATGGGACAGAGAACATTTTTTTTGTTTTATTAGAGATTCAATTTTTGATGGAACTTACCTTATTGCTTTCCTTTTGAAGTATGCAGAAAACAGATTGCTTTGTAAAAGCAAAAATCACTCAATATTAAAGTTTGTTGAAGTAAATAAAAATACTTTAAGTATCTACAAAGAAACAAAATGGATATTTACAGATAGGAATTCTTGGAAATAGATACCAAAATTCAAAAGATTTCTGTAAGCCATTGGACAGATATTTTAGAATGATATCACTTGTAACAGATAGGTGTGTGGCTGGAACACAAATTAAATGTTCATAGCACTAAACAGAACACATACATATTCTTAATACCCAAACATCTCTGACACCAAGGTAGGTATAAACACATGAGAGAGAAAAGGAAAAGTACTAGATATTATACTACAAGCATTAGGTCATTACA